TATTTTATTGTAAATTTAAATTAAATTTATTTAAATAATTAAATCATATGTAATCAAATCTTATTTAGGGCATAGTATAAGATCTTAAATAAGCTTGAGGAGTTACATGTAGGACAATGCTTAAGTCAAGTACCTTAGGTTCATTACATCCAGTGAGCCAATCAGATAATACCACTTAGATTATTTTTACACATCAGCATTTAACCCTGTGAAATACTCCGTTAGCTTACTAAAATTTCTGTTTTTTTTTTTTTTTGGGGACAAGACAGAGGAGCTATAGTAGGAAGAAGACGCTTGTCAAATTGTCCCTCCCAAAACTGGCAATTTCATTGAAGAAGAAGAACTCATCATCAAAACTCCCACAGACTTTTCGATGACCCATACGGGGGGAAAAAAACACGAGGGGATCATGATGCTCTCTATTCAATAGATTTCAATATGAATTTTCACTCTCTGCTTGCTCCCATTCTCCTCTTTTGCTTTCTTACTCTCTCTGAGATCAAGTCCCATAATTCGCACCTTGGATCTCGTGATGAAGCACATCTGAGGGTTCTAATTCCCGTTTGATTTCATATTATTTCATGAATCCTTAAATTTGATTGGGATTTTGCGGTATGATTTTTTAGCAGAATGAACCCAACAGCGTCTCCATGAATCATATGATAAATCCTTTTAATTTTAGAGGGCTAACTGTCTATTTAACAGTGTTAAGTGCTGATGTGTAAAAATAATTTAAGTGGCATCATCTAATTGGTTTACTGTATAATAAAAACTAACATTTTAAATAAGTCTTTAAAAATGTTTCAGGCCTGAGTCTTAAAAAAAGCCTGTATACAGACTTAGAATTTATGTCTTTATTTCAGACTTAGTTCTATTTAACTAGAACCTGACACGACCTGAATAAAGTAGAATTTGTTCTATGAATGTACCGGGTTTTTAGCTTTTGATTGCATCTTCGAGTGTAATCTGTTTTATTAGAGTAAAGATTTAGTTCCAAAAAAAAAAAAAACCAAGTAAAAGTTTAGAGTTTCTGGGTTGGGTCCTATCAGAGAGTACCCCTTTTTAAATGTTCGGTATAACGGGACCGGGGCAATGAGGGGCTGGGGATGAAACTAGTGGGCTCAGAAAGTGGTCAAACGCCTTCGAAGGGGAGGAAACATGAGAATGTCAATGTACTCCACTGTGAAGGACCAGGGATGAAAATAATGGATGGATTATGGTTTTTTCCCTCTCCCTCTTATACTTCCTCTTATTCTTTTAGGCCATAATCTTTGTGACTGTGAAGTTTTTCTTCTTTCCTTTTCTTTCTGTGATTGCTTTCCTTCTTTATGTTACTTCCTTATTAGGTGTATTTGGATTTGGAATTTCCATTAAGCGTAATCCAATTGTGCTTTACCATGTCAGTAAATTGATTCAATTACATTTGTAATTAAAAAAAAGTGTTGTTATGCTCACATAAATTCTTTCCTAACAAATAGCAGCCGCACCTATTCTTTTTTTTCCTTTTTATGTCGAAAAAATAAAACATCAAGAACACTAAAACTATGACATAATTAATAACACTATTATGAAACTTCCCGCTGAGAGTTGATGATCACATCAGCTTCTATAATAATTCTTCCCATTTAAGCTGATGATGTCATAAATTTCTATGCGGCTTCCCTCACAAAGTAGTTGCATTGACAATTGTACCGGCTTAACGAACAATATCAACTTATTTGATGGGCTAATTGGCTAACCTTATTGGCTTATCTTATGATGTCCTGGGTCTTGCATGCTCCTAATATTGCCTTTTCCATTTCTCATTTTTCCTTTTCCCCGACATCCACTCTTTTTGCAACTCATATCCCTGTCTCTCCCTAAATTTTATTATCTCCAGTTTTTTATATAAGAGTTAGTCTGATTTTTAATTTAGTTTTAAATATAAAAGTCCAATCTATTTTATCTCTCATATTTATCTATTTTTTCTAAAACAGTCTTTGTAATAGAATAATAGTTCTAACTAGCACACATGATTAGTAAGGGTGTTTTAGAGAAGACAACACTTATTGATTATAAATAACTCACTTAAAAATTTTTCTTATTCTATCCAAATGAGTCAACTCATTTTTATATTTAGAATTGGAGGTAGTATCTTGTTTAATGTTCCTGGGGCTTGCTTAATGAGTAATTTTGTAAGGACCACGCGGAGTAGAAGGTAGTTGATGACACTATGCTCATATAGACTGATCAAGTATAATCAGTGCAGAAAGTAAGGGTGGTACGTTCATCCAATGTGTTTTAAAAAATTAAACTTGCACATGTATGGGGTTAAAATTTAGAGAAGTCTCAGTAGGATAAGATTTTAGAGGTTAAACACTTAAACAAGGATAAGATTTCAGTAGTCAGATAATCTCGGACGCTACTCGTCAATTCTTAAAGTAACATGTCCATTTTAACTCCTTACACAGCCTGACCTGTCCATTTGTCTAACCTCCATGACGGTGGAGAAACTGCATAGCTTTGAGAAATTAATGAACAATCAAAATATCATAATTAACTCATACCTATCAGCAAGTCTAAAAATATAACATGCTAAGAATAGCTCACTGGTCTTAGAGCCGTCAGTTTTATTATAACACCTCATATAATTATATCTACATACATGATAAAATACTTTATTTAAAAGTCTATAAGTATTTCTAACATTCATGACAGGACGTAATTTCAAAACATTTTTTTGACATAACTTAACAAAAGAAACTATTAAAGTCTTATAGTTATGGCAAATAAAAATATAACATAGTATGTGTTTGACGAGCATAGAAGCCTTCATAACTCAATCCATCAGTGCCTTCCCTTGATTTCTACTAGATTCTTTGTCTGAAAATATTAATATAAGGAGTGAGATCTAATGTCTCAGTAACTACTGAAATTCTAACATATACAAGCAAACCATATATGACAAACAAAAATATGATTTTATGTGTGTGTATATATTTGTGTATGAAAATCACGGATTTATATATTCAACTCAATGTCACTTTCAATTCAACAATATATCATTTTCTAACATATAAAAAAATAATGCAATATGCATCCTCCCTTATATGACCGTCCACTCTTATACCGCTAATTGGAGTTATAGGCTAACACATAGTCCAATAGGAACTAATCTATTTTACTGAATTATTCCAAACTTACCAAAACTGGAGATATATCTGACTAAAGATATAGAGCTCAAATTCGAATTATGGCTCTCCTCCTTTGCAAATAAAATAAGGAGGTGTCACATGTCCCACAGTTTCAATGAATTCCCAACCAAAGAAAAACATGAAAGAATGGGTCCTGACAAGTGCCATCTACTATGCACCGAGTGATGGCATACCACGTGATAATTTTATATCCAATACAAATCTGGTTCTATCCTTAGCCCAACAGTGCATATGTCATATATAAATAATATTACATCAGAAATACGCCTTCAAATATATTATTAAAATAAGATAGTAATAAAATTTCTATACCATTTAACAGCAACTCATTATAATTCAATAGCCATCAATATATTTAAATATTGATCATAATTAATAGCAATAAATCTTAATAAAATAAAGTAACATAATAAAATATTTATTTAAAAAATCATAATATATATTTTCAATATGATATAAAAACTAGTAAATTCATAATATAATCATACACAATTCACATGTATATGAAAGAATTTTTAGAGTTACTTGCTACTCTTTAGCTTACAAATAATGATATAATGATTACTCCAAAATTCTCAAAAGTCTATAAAATTGTATATAAATATTTATTAATATACAACTCAAATTATTTTAAAATTATTCTAAAAATTCTAAAGTTACCCTCTAAACCAAAATTACAAAAAAAAAATTAATTCTTCCGGATCTAACTATTTATAATAGATACAATATTATTTTGAACATAAAATTTTTATATAAGACTATTTAAATTTAATAACTTAAATAGATATATTTGTTACCTAAAATATAAATATTTTATATTAAAACGTCAGTTATTTATTATAGTCTTATTTAAAATTTTTTCTCAACCAAACAACTCCTTTAAAGTGTAAATAAATTTTTTAATTTTTATAAAATTCTCAATTTACAGTTCTTCAAACTTTCAAAAATTATTTCAAAAATATATCTTTAACTTATTTAACATTCAAATCGATTAAAACCTTAATAATATATTAAATAACTCAAATAAATTATTTAATTTAAATTTAATCGGTAAAAATATTCTATATGTCTTAATTAAATAACAAATTTTTTAACTAAAATCTTAATTTAAAATTCTCAAAACAATAAATGAACAAATATAAACTGATTAAAATCTCTTAATAATGAATCTTTAAATTTTCACAATCATATATTGTCAAAACTCTATATTTACTCCACACTCAAACCATAAAATTTTCTCTAAAAATTATAATGATACTAATAATATAATGCTCTAAATATAGAGAAAATATTCATAAAGAGGATATGATAAAAAAATATTTTTGTATACCTAAATGATCTCTAAATCTTATCTTATCCTTAAGATATTATGTACCTTCACTCTCTCTTGATTTTACTCTTTGCCTCTCACTCGTTTCCTTTTCTGCCTCCCACTCTCTTATTTTACCACTACTCCATCTTTCAACCACCCCCTCTCCTGTTTTTCGTTTCTCAATTAATACTCCTCCCCCAAATTCTCTCTTCTTAAATTGCTCTAGCTTTTCGGTGGAAAAGCTGGTTTTTATTTTATTTTATAAAATTTAATAATAAAATATTATTTTATTTATTATATTTTTAATTTAATTTTTTTGAATTACAATTTTGTTTTTCTAAAAAAAAATAGTATATTACATTCACAGCTCTTGCTCCCCTCCCCCACCAAAAAAAAAAAACCAAACCAAAAAAGAAACAATTTAGCAACAACATTTGATAACCATACATACCGTACTATGAGACCCCACCTCCACTTCTTCCCATTTCTGAACCCTAGTGTTCCTCTAGCAACATGTGGGAAGGGCTTTGAAAACCCACAATTTCTGTTGTGGTCATAGCAGTGGTGGAAGATTCTAGTTCTAATCTGGGAGGGGAAGGCATGATAGGTTTTGGTGGCATTTCCAACAGGTCAGGTTTTCTTTCTAACATTTCAATCACTCTACTCATTGTAGGTCTTTGACCTGGAAATGTTTGGATGCACCACAAAGCCACAATGGTCATTTTCTTTGCAATATCATTTTCCCCCGTGTTATCGGCCCCATCACATCCCAAATTGCTGTCTTGCTCAAGTTGAGCATAAATATAATCTGGGAAATATTTCTCAGTCGAACAATTGGTTTCAACATTCTTGTTCTTTCTCCCTCCAACCATATCTAATAGCATCATCCCATAGCTATAAACATCAGACTTATAAGAAACTCCACCTATGTTTCTATTCCAAACTTCTGGAGCAAGATATCCTATTGTTCCTCTAGCTTCTGAAATTGAAATGAAGCTTTCTTTTTTAGGACAAAGCTTAGCAAGACCAAAATCTGAGATCTTGGGACAAAAATTTTCATCTAAAAGGATGTTATGTGGCTTTATATCAAAATGTAGAATTCGAGTGTTGCATCCTCTATGCAAATACTCAAGTCCTCGAGCTATCCCAATTGCGATTTGGTACAAATTTTCCCAAGTCAAGCATAGACTATTTTTATCCACATTGCTGGGAATGAACTTGTCAAGAGATCCATTGGACATAAATTCATATATGAGAGCCTTTTGTTTGCCTTCAAAACAAAACCCAAGAAGGGTAACAACATTTACATGGGAAGTCCTACTGATGCTAGCAACCTCGTTGATAAATTCTTCCCCATTCTGTTTTGATGCCTTCAATAACTTTACAGCAACAGGGCGGCCATTGAGGAGTTTTCCCTTGTATACAGAACCATAACCACCTTGTCCCAATTTATCTTTGAAAGAGTTGGTCATTTTCTTGACATCTGCAAATTTATATCTTGTGAGAGCTAAGGGACCACGATTTCTAATGAAGGCCTCGATATTTTGGTCCACCATAGATGTCTCGCACAATCCTATTGTTTGCCCCCACGACTTTGTTTGACAACACCAAATAAGCATCAGTCCAATTGCTCCAAGAACTATTGCAGCAATAAGACAACCTGGGATGCAGAATGGTAATGGCTTTCAGTTGATATACTTGTCAAAAACACAAACCAAGTTAAGAGAAGAACTAAAAGCAGATCTATTACCTATAATGAGTGCATTTCTTTTTGAATGGTGGCCTGTTCCAGCAATTATACACAGAAAATAAAGTGCGGGTTAAATACGTGGTAGAATCTGTATATGAAGAAAGAACAAAACAAAGGATGCAGATATAAAAAGTTATTATAATATGCCGATAAATACATTAACATTACCACTAACTTTTGAAATGACGTTCATCATTGCAGAAGTAGCGGAATTTATATTTTCATATTCATCATAACCAAAGCGTCCACCACTTTTTAGACTGTACTGAAAACCGGGTTCAGGTGCAATCCATTTCAAAGTAAACCCCATCTTTAAAATTTCGGTTGCAACTCGTTCGCAACAAGTTAATTATCATCGCAAACTATATTCATTATCTTGCAATATAAGCATGGAGGCTCCATCTGACGCGGTTCTAGTTAGATTATACAGAAAAGAAACAGCAGGAGTGATGTGGCCATTATCCTCAATAATGGTGGCAGGGCACCACCTAGATTGCCCTCTTCACTATTGTTTCTTTGGGTGGCCCCACTCTACATCCCAATTAAGTCAACAATTTGAAGACGAGGTACTCCAGGATAAGGAAGAGGGGCTAGACTGGAAACATGGAAATCGTTGACTTGCGAGTCAATGCAACATGCAACTACTTCGTTGACATCTAAAATCTCCAAAATGCCCTCAAGATTAATTAGTTTCCAGACCGATGATTGCGCTCATTCAGTAATCTTGCAAAGGAAAGTCATTTTCTTTACTTGTCGTAGACGCCTTTGTGCTGTTTTATTAACGATGACAACTTCTTATAAATGGTCAGATCCTACAAATCCTACTTTAACTGTTTTACAAAGTGAATCTTATATTTAGAAACAAAGATAGTACTAAGAAAAAGGAGCCAGCCACACTTTTTAATCCTAGGTACTACTGGTAACAACAGTCTCTTTACTGAAATGATATCTTTTTTTTTTTTTTTAATATGAAGAGAAAGCTGAAAATAACTAAAAGTGTTTGGATGGAATTAAAATTATGATTTTAAAAGTGTTTTTATAGTATACAAAGTAAATATGTGAAGGAGTTTATCTCGATTTGCAGAAAAATGTTTTTAAAAAATACTATTCACTAAACCCAAACACCCCTTAAGTAATTAAACTAACAAATTTTTTTTTTGAAATGATATATTCACTGTCTCATAAATTATATATCAACGCTATTATTAATTATTTTATAATTTAAGAAGCCACTATTTAAGTATAAACTTCACATAGGAAACGATATAAAAACTGAGTTTTTATTTATTGAGAAGTCATATACCAGCCTCATAATTTTTTGGTTAAACTTTTTTATTTATTTTTATCTATCCCTAAAATTTAACAAGTTTAAACAAATTAGTGTTGAACAGGGATGTCATTGTTACGTTTTTAAATTTTCAAGTTAGCATTGTTTCTGAGCAAAAACTTTCGCAATATAATTAAACCTTAACCTTTAAGAAAACTCAAAATGTTCAATATTCAACATTGTGATATGGGTTAAGACAAGTTAAATGAAAATCATAAGTTAGAGGTTAAATAAGTCCAACTAAATATATATGAAAAAAAATAACAATTTGATAAATAATTTACCACTTCATCAAGTCATTATAATCGTCATAATTTGATAATTAAAGAATGACTACAAAAATTGTAAGGTCTTTTAACTTTCTTATCTAACTCGTGATTATTATGAGCCATTCAAAAGACATCGAGACAAGTTGAAAGACAACTGTGATTTGAGGACCCTGACCGATTGTTTGATGACGAAGATAAATGCAGACTCAAAGGTCACGCAGACAAATTTAGCGACTTGACTATCCTACTTATCACGCCCGCTTTTTAATATAAAATCTAGTTGACTAATTTAATTACATTAAAAAATTAGTTAAGCTAGTTATTTATAATAAATAGGTATTGTTTTTTCTAAAATATCATGTTAATAATATGTTTTACCTAGAATTACCATTTAATGAAACACTTAATATGTATAACTACTATAAGTATTACCTTAAAAAAATAGATAAATATGAGAGACAAAATGAATTAGGACCTTATATTTAGAATCAAATTGAATATTAAACTAGCTCTTATATTAAAGACCGGACATAGTATTATATTTGGGTACACAATAGTAAAAGGGAAAATAAACCCCGGTTGACTGAGGTGAAGGCGATAATGAAATTATCTTCACAAAATTGGTTGCTACAGAGGATAAATGTAACACTCAGATTAATTTCGTTGCTGATATCTATAAATTTATTTCCTGATGGTTACTTTGGTTACGTAAATGTGAATGGCAAACTACTTCATTAACTGTCATCAGAAAATCTGATGTCTCCATCCAAAACACATTAAGAAGCAGAGGAATCTAATCAAAACCAGAAGCTATGGGAAAAAGAACACATACCCTCTGTTGATGACCCTGAAGAAGGAGGAGGCCTTGGCTCGGGCCGGGGTGCTGGCGCTGCTTCTTCTTCTAATCGATCAGCAAAACAAACCCCATCGGGACAGAAACATGTAAATTCATCCAGACTTGCGTTGTAACCGCATCTTCCACCCGAAATTCTGCAATCATCACACCACCCTCCTTTCAGTTCCCATTTAACCTCAAAACCTTGATCTATAACATCACCAGGATCTATGAAACTTCTCAGTGCCACACCCAGAACAGGAACATTGATGCTGGTTCTACACCCCAGACCAGTCCTGGTCCAATTGTTGGTCCACAAAAAGTATGCTTCACGAGGAATACCATGTAAGGGGCAATCAAATCTCACAGCAGTTGATGAATTCAGAGTGGCATTGCTTGAAGGGTCGCAGCCGTATAATAGAGTAGTGTTTTCATCATTGGGACTGTAGTCAAAGAAAGAATAATCCAACGTGATGTTTGTGAACTGATTGGAACACTTGGTACCCCACAAATCCATTCTTGCAATCGTAAGAGTTCTAGCAGCGGAGTTAACATTGATTACCCTAAAAGTCTGGGAATTAATGTTGATAGTAACATTGTCTCCGTCACAATTAAGCTTCAACTTAGGATGACCACAATAAGCAGGCAGTGAGTCGACCCAGAAAGGGAAGCTCAGACTGGTGACGTTTCCGCAGCTAAAAGGCTTGCAAGCTGAAAATTGTTCATTTGCAGTGGTAACATAAAAGAGAATGGGAACGAAGAAGAAGGTCTTCAAGAGAAGCTGACGTAAAACAACAGAAGGAGGACCCTTGTACAGCATGATCATTGCAGAGAATGGCTATCAAGAAACAACTCTCACAGGGCTATAAATCAAAATTAAACGAAACACAAGCATGCTTTGAGTAATAAGGCAATATATATTACTCCTCTGGTCATGAATATAAAACATATCTAACTAATTTGATTAGATTAAGGAAGTGAGGTAAGTTAGTTAATTATAAGAAATAAGACATGTTTTTTCTAAAACACCACAATCATCTTTCTTAATATCCCATCTTTCCTTTTTATTTGATAATAGTTGAGGGAGTATCCATAGGGGTAATTTAAAAAAATTGATAAATATAAGAAATATGTCTTATGTTTAAGACCAAAATCAACTCAACAATTAGATTCTGTATTAAGGACAGGAGGAGTACACTTTTCATGGAATAAAAGTCATTCACAGAATGGCATTACATAAAGAGATTTTCAATTCTACCAATCCCCATCAAATGTCATTTTTGCCCTTGATATACAATTGCATATTAGAGACTATCGGGCCTTACTCAAAGTGTCAATCAGGAAACCATCTCTCAGCTTCAGATGTGGCCTGACTAGCTACATGCGTTTTCAACGGGAAAAATGAAGGAAGAATCATGTTTGAGGATCTTTGGAAAAAAAAGGAGGAAGTTTTCCGCTATTATTTAAGGAACCCCAATTTTTTCACATCTCATTTGAATAGACTATAGACCATAGAGGGGGTAATATTATGACCATACGACGGGATTGCGCACCCAGATCGCCTTTTGGCTCCAAAACGCGGGCTTTGTGACCTGATGAAATTGCTTGTCGCCGGCCTCCTTGCACCGGTGACTGGCCCTACTCCATGCATGTGGGGCACAAATCCCACGATTTCAACTTTTGAAGTTTGAAATTTAAGGACCCCTTTGGTTTACTGGTTTTAACCTTCAAGGAACAAAGAAACACATTCACATACACTGCTCTTCTACCGTGGACTAACTGCTAGCCAATTTTTCTGGGTTAACGCTTGTGAGTTTGAAGTAGATTACAAGTTCATGTTTTGCACAAAATATGAAGCAAGCATACCTGTTTTTATATAGCTTATGAATTGTTCATTGCTTATAGATTCTATATTATATATAAAAGATTGTTCTGTCTAAAAGCTGCGTCTGTCTCAGTCCTCAACACACTGCCGGCTTTAAAAATATTAAAAAAATGGAAAGAAAAGCAACCCCGTTGAAGAATGAAATAATGCCAACAAATCTGGTCTTAGGGAACTATCTCATTCAGTCATCTAGTCATTTAAGTTCGAATCTCAAGGGAAAGGACCAATAAGTCATAGATGATTCAAATCCAAACTCTCCATGAAATTGCTACAATAGCACTTCAGCAGACTACAGATCAGAAAACTACCGGCTGTAAGTAGTCTCCCAAGGCTTACTCGGATGGATAGTGGGAACGAGAGGCCTAAAACAAGAAGAAAAACAAACGAAAAAAAAGAAAAGAAAAAGAAGAGAAAAATTGAGCAAAAGTCTCCCATTAAAAATTTGGGCTAATACAATTTTGGGTCCTTTAATAAGTTTGTCCTTATTTTGGGATTGATCTCTCAAGTTTCAAATCATAAATTTCGGTCTCTTAAGCTTCTTTCTATTCAAAATATTAATCTCTATAATCCAATAAAAATCTGAACTATTTTACCCTTTAAGGGATTAATACCTATGGTTTGAAACTTGAAGAATCAAACCAAAATGAGGACAAACTTGAGGGATTAAAGATTATATTAACCCTAAAAATTTCCCAGTTAAAAAACATAAATCAAAGTACCATCATCCGTATGAACAAAATTGCAAAATATTAATACTTTCTGTGTATAAAAATTTATCAGGTTTCTTCATCAATAAAACTGTAATGGGTATTCCCCCCAATTTGAAAAAAAAAAGGTATATTAAATGTTGAAAAGGAATTAATGCATTGGTTTGTCTTAAGGTGATGGAAGAGATGTATTGTTGACTGTTAAATGCGTATTCCACACGGCCACAAAATAGTCCTCTCTCAAAGACTTGACTTGCATCTGGCCAAAAAAAAAAAAAAGAATTCCATAAAGGAATAGAATATACTAATTCAATATTTGAATTATCTTTGAAAGTAAGAATGTTCAAAATAATAGATATAAGAATACATTAGTACATTTGATAAAAATCAACTGTACAAAAATCTTCTTTCGCTCTGGGGCCCTTTAATTTCCAGCAGTAACATCATTCCCTTTCTATGGCTACATGTATATATGAATAGTTGAATACAATAGATTTAAAGTTCAGTTATAAATGTTTTGACCCATTTCTCATTAACAACTTTTGCCAAGATGATACCCATCACTGGTATAATGATGCATGCCCGAGAGATGTTTGATCCTAGCTTTCTAAAGACATTATATGTCACTTGGAATCTGGCTAAAGATTATTTTACTGATATTGGAAGAACAAAAAGGATGCTAAGCAATTCACTTTTGGGAATCATAGTCAGAATCTAGGGGAGAGCTTCCAAGGCCTCAATATATGGGATTTGATAATAGACACATACATTGCTCTAATAAGAGCCGTGGCGGAAATTCTAAAGAGAATGACAGTTAAGATCATCCAACAAAATTAATGTGAAATGAGAACATGGCTATTACTTGAACTACAAAGTTTATTACACAAACTTTTATTTTTATAATTTACAAGTCTTCATTTTACACTAATTTTCTTGTAAGGTCTTTATTTGTCATTCTTCAAAACTTCTACTTCTCGTCTTGAATGGAAGGTGTAATTGACTTTGGCGGCATTTGTAGTGAGTCAAGGCTTCCTTCTAACATTTCTATCACTCTATTCATTATAGGTCTCTGAGTTGGAAATGTTTGCATGTACCACAGACCCGCGATGGTTATTTTTCTGACAATATTGTTTTCCTCAGTGGTCTTTGCCTTACTTTGTCCCAAATCTTTGCCTTGCTCCAGTTTATCATAAATAGAACATAATTCTAAGTTAGGAAATAGGATTCCATGGTCACATCCTTCAACACGCCAACTATGTCTAATAACATCACTCCATAACTGTAAATATCATATTTATATGAAATCCCACCTATATTTCTATTCCAAACTTTTGGTGCAAGATACTCAAGAGTTCCTCTAGCTTCTAAAAGTGAAATAATGCTCTCTTTTTTTCTTAGGACAAAGTTTAGCAAGTCTAAAATCTGTGACCTTAGGGCAAAAGCTTTCATCCAAAAGGATATTATGTGGCTTATGTCAAAATATAGAATTCGAGTGTTGCATCCTCTATGCAAGTATTCAAGCCCTCGAGTTGTGCAATTACAATTTGAAACAAATTTTTCCAAGTCAATGACAAGTTTGTTTTATTTGCCTTATTCCGAATCAATTTGTCAAGAGATCCATTGCACATGTATTCATATATAAGAGCCTTCTTCTCACCTTTCAAACAAAATCCAAGAAGGGTAACAACATTAACATGAGAAGTTTTACTGATACTGACAACTTTATTGATAAATTCTTCCCCATTTCCTTTGGACTGATTTAAAATCTTGGATGGGATTAACAAATTAAACTTACACATGTATGGGATTAAATTTTGGAGAATTCTCGGTAGGATAAAATTTGGGTGGCTAAACAAGGATAGGATTTCGGTGGTCAAACAATTTCGGACGCTACTGTCAATTTTTAGAGTAACATGTCCATTTTGACTCCTTACAAAGCCTGGCCAGTCCCTTTGTCAGACCTCCAGGACTTTGTGGCGATATTGCTATCACTTCAAAAGCATAGCATCTGATGATTGCTTTGATTTTGGCCACAAAGTCCTCCAGAATCCTCACACACGCAGCGCAATCCGTTGCTGCAGTCCGCCAATCAAGCACAAGGCCCTTGTTCATAGCTTCACTAAACTCAGTTCCCAAGCTGTTATTTCTGATCTCTTTCAATCACATTCAACATCTCTCGCTCTCATTGTCTTCGCCCTTTTTTCCGGTGCAACTTTTCCAACTTTCGAGATGCTTTGGAATATCCTCTGCAATTCCAATTATTGTCAAAAATAGTGTGCGTCCATATTTTTGGATTTTTAGAACCGGATATTTTTTGTTGAGGTTTTTAACTATAGAAATATGAAAGTGAAGGAGCCCAAATTCGAATTCGGTCATCTCCACCACCGGTAGCGGCAGGGTAAAGAGAAAACCTTTTTGGGTGTCGCCGAAGGCCGAATTCTCACCGCCCGTCGTCTCTTTTGATGATGATGGTGCTTTTGATACATACTCTGATGGCGAAGATAGCGATCAATTTCGCCATGGTAGATAAGGGTATTTCTGGTCCTGACTTCCCTCAACCTCCCTTAAAAGTAATATATTTTTTTTGCCAGAATTAAATTATCTCAACTCGGCATGGCTAATTTATGAATATTAAAAAATTAATTGAATCAATTATTTATAAATAATAAACACTATTTTTAATATATTTTTATTAATTATGTGTATTGAAAAATACATAATTTTTACAATTACTGTGAAAGTTAATTAGGAAGTAAAATAAATAAATATAAGAAACAAAATAAATTAAAAATTTTATATTTAAAACTAAATTAAATTTTTAATTAATTTTTATACTAAGCACGGAGGTAATATTAATTAAATATAGAAGCATTAGAGACAGAGCTCTAAACAAGTCAAAAGCAGAGTTACAAATTTTTATCGACTGCGTGTTTGGCTATAACCTGTTTCAACATATATGTTGCATCCCGTTTTAAAAAAAATGCATTTTTTTGAAAATAAGTTGCAATAAGTTTTTAAACAAATTTTAGATACTTTTGAAATATTCTTAATATTTTTATGTTAAAAGTAGAAGAGTAACAAGACAAATTTATCTATTATAATGTTAAAAAAGAGCATCAGTCACCATAATGATGTATAATGTCAACCCATTACTTACTGCCTCACTAATCAAGTCTCTAGGAAGGATGCCATTCTCTGCTGTCATCGTTTTGCTATCCACCAAAAAGTCAACAATAGTGAAGCGGAATTATCGTAGGCTTGCTTGATACGTTTAGTCGACAGATTATATCAGACCATGGCGCGCGGTGTGGGGATAGAGAGAAGGAGAGAGAGAGGAAGGATGAGAGTGAGACCTACAAAGTTGAGAGGGGTTGGATGGGGAGCATGGTGCGGGGAAGAGAGGATTTGTGGGGGGATTGACAAAGTTAAGAGAGATGAGCTGACAAAGTGGGTCCCACAAAATAAAAAAGTAACGATGTTTAAGAAAATTTAGGGAGATCGCATTTATGCTTCACATCTTCACATCTTGTATACTGAATAAAAAAGGATAGTGTCTAGCAAATATTTTAAACTTTGAGATGAGCTGGCAAGTTCTGCTTCACCCAAAAGACAAAAGCAATTACTCCTCTACCTAAAGTAAGTTAAATAATTTAAGTAGATTAAAAATATTTGTTAAATTAGTTAATATAATATATTTTTTCTAAAACATCCTAATCACTTTTGATTTTCTCTGTTGAAAGAATATTAATAGGGTTGGGTTGATATGAAAAAAAATTGATAAACTTATGAAATGAATCTTATATATAAGACTAACGTTAACTCTCAAATTAGATTATAGGGCAAATTTCACTGTAGGACCGCAGAAGACAATTAATTTCAAAGAGCCCCCAAAACTTTCTGAAATTTCACTGTAGGACTAAGGGGGCAAACTGATATTAATTCCACAAAGAAAATGACCCTATTGCCCCTCATGTGAACAAGTATGGGAGAACCCATTTGCAAGTGAGGATAGATAATTTACAACATGCATAAATATATTTACAATTAAAATTAGCCCATTTACATATTACTTTCTTCACCTGAAGAATGTGTCTGAGTGAACAAGTGTGGGACAGCCCATTTGCAAGTGAGACTAGACAATTTGCAACATACATATATTTATTTACAACTGAAATTAGTTCATTTACATGTCACTTCGTTCACCTGAAAAAGGTCTCCGTGAGTAAACAAGTGTGGGAGCGCCCATTTGCAAGTGGAATTAGTCAATTTGCAACATACATACATTTATTTACAATTAGAATTAGTCCATTTACATATCACCTCATTCACCTGAAAAAGGTGCCTGTGAGTGAATAAGTGTGAGAGAACCCATTTGCAAGTGGGACTAGTCAATTTGCAACATACATACCTTTATTTACAACTGAAATTAGTCCATTTACATGTCACCCTGCAATAAGTATTATGAGGGGCAATAACGTCATTTTCTTTGTGGAATTAATATCAGTTTGCCCCCTTGGTCCTGCAGTGAAGTTTCAGAAAGTTTTGGGGGCTCTTTGAAATTAATTGTCTTATGCGGTCCTACAGTGAAATTTTTCCTAGATTATATATTAAATACAGAAGAGTAAATAAAACTTCAGAATATCCGGGTCAAATGTTCCTGCTCAGGGTTCATTTGATAGAAGATTATGATTATACTTCAGTGAAAGTTATAAAATATCTACGCATGTAATTATAACGGTTTAGGGAATATATATAATAGGAATAATCGCAAAAAAAAACCCTAAAAAAATTGCACATAAGGACTCGTTTATAAAAATTATTGTCAAAATTTATACTGAAGTTGTAATTAGTCCCTATTTACAATTTTTCTATTTCGGCTGGTTTTTGTTGCGATTTTTCTTGTTATATATCACTCTTCAATTTCACTGTTTCCTTTTGATTCTTGACACTTATAATAACCAATGTACATAATCAAAAAAAATTGAAGAAAATGGATGAAAATAATATATAAACTTTATGCATAATTAATTTCTCGTGTTACTCTTTTTTTAATACACAGTGTCAATTTTCTTTTTAAAAGTATGATTATATAAATGAAAATGATTCCTATGTTCGGGTAACATGCTGAAAACAATTGCATAGACATGATACATGACTTTGAATTTATTGATTGTTGAAGGAAAATGATTATCAAAATTCAAATTTTAGGAAGCCAAGTTCCTACTGAATTATCAAACATCTAAATCTATATTACCAGCAGCACACATTAAACACCTGTTAGCCAAAAACAAAACCAAAACCAAAACAAAATGAAGACCAGAACAACAATAAAACCTGCATCTGAGTTTCAATACTCTTGAGAACCTGCATTATGATGCTATGCGAATGCATCAGATTTACTTTAGCTTTGCACTTTACAATATCATTCTTCACTGTTGCTGGTACCTATCAAATTCTAAATCACTATTCCTATAGAGGGGGTATGATTGTGACCATACGACTAATTGCAAACCCAGATTTCGCCGTTTGGCTCCAAAACGCATTTTGGCCTGATGAAAAACGCTTGTCGTCTGGCCTCCTTGCACCATGTGGGATCCATACCCCACGATTTCAACTTTTCAAAGTATGAAATTTAAGGACCCATTTGGTTTATTACTGGTTCTCACCTTCAAGGAAAGAAAAGAAACACATTCACATACACTGCTCTTTTACTGTCAAGTTACTGCTGACCAATTTTTCTGAGTTAAAGTGCATGAGTTTGAAGTGGATTACAAGTCCATGATTTGCAAAATATATGAAGCAAGCGTACCTGTTTATATATAGCTTATGAATTGTTCATTTCTTATAGATTCTATATTATATATAAAAGATTCTGTCTAAAAGCTGTGTTTATGTCAGTCGTCAACACACTGCCGGCTTCCAAAAATATCAAAAAAAAAAAAAAAAAAAGCAGCCCCATTGAAGAATGAAATAATGACAACAAATCTGGCTTTATGGAATTATCTCATACTGTCATCTAGCCATTCAAGTTCTAATCTTAAGGGAAGGGCATGACAGGTTTTGGTGGCATTTCCAATGAATCTAAACTTCTTTTAACAACAGAAACAGATTACAAAGGGGCAAGAGGAATTATTGGCTGGGGATGAACATAATGGGTTCAGAAAGTGATCAAAGGCCTTGGAAGGTGAGAAAACAGGAGAATGTCAATGTGCTCCGCTGTGAAGAGCTGCGGGTGAATTATGAATTTTTTTTTTTTTTAATCTCTCTGATGCTTTCTCCTGTTCTTTTAGGCCATAACATTGGTGATTAATTGTGAAGTAGTTTCTCTTCTTCTTTTTCCTTTTGTGATTGCTCCCCTCCTTTATGTAACTTAGCTAATTACGTTAATGAAAGCATCAGCGCAGACCACGCAATCTCAGCGAAGTCCATAAATTTATACTGTCAATGCGTACCCCCATAATGTTTGGATATACCACAAACCCACAATGGTCATTCTCTTTGCAATATCATTTTCCTCCACATTATTATCACCATTAAATCCCAAATTGCTGTCTTGCTCAAATTGAACATAAATATAATTGAGAAAATATTTATCAGTTGAACAATCGGTCTCAAAATTCAGGTTCTTTCTCCCTCCTGCCATATCTAATAACATCATCCCATAGCTATAAACATCAGACTTATGCGAAACTCCACCTATGTTTCTATTCCAAACCTCCGGAGCGAGATAACCTCTAGTTCCTCTTGCTTTTGAAATTAAAATGATACTTTTGTTTTTTGGACAAAGCTTAGCAAGACCAAAATCTGAGATCTTGGAACAAAAGCTTTCATCTAAAAGGATGTTATGGGGCTTTATATCAAAATGAAGAATATCCTCTATGTAAATACTCAAGCCCTCAAGCTATCCCACCTACAATTTGGTACAAATTCTCCCAACTCAAGCATAGACTATTTTGATTTGCATTGTTGTGAATGAACTTGTCAAGAGATCCATTGGACATAAATTCATATATGAGAGCCTTTTTTTGGCCTTCAAAACAAAACCCAAGAAGGGTAACGACATTTACATGGTAAGTCCTACTGGCAATCTCGTTGATAAATTCTTCCCCATTCTGTTTTGATGCCTTCAATAACTTTACAGCAATAGGATAGCCATTGGGTAGTTTTCCTTTGTATACAGAACCATATCCATCTTGTCCCAATTTATCTTTGAAAGAGTTGATCATTTTCTTGACATCTGTAAATTTATATCTAGTGAGAGCTAAAGGACCATGATTTCTAATGAAGGCCTCGATATTTTGGTCAACCTTAGATGTCTTGCATAATCCCATTCTTCGCCTCCATGATTTGTTTTTATAACAACAAATAGTAACACAAAAAAGCAGCAGTCCAATTGCTCCGCTAACACCTTTCACATATAGTAGCTAGGTAAATCAGTGGGTAGAAATGATTATGAAAGTCAACAATTTCTGCAGTACAATATGTGGTGATAGATGATGCTTGAAAACAAAGTGTTATAGAATGAATGAGAAAAGATGTTTGTGACATGAGTCTAATGATCACCTAACTCCTTTTAGCGCGGATGTCATTAAAAAAAGAAGCACACTGGTAATGCAGCATTGAAACAGAATATGGAATAGTCAATTGAAACATGAAAAATACTAGGCAAAATTGTAAAGAAAAAATATGGAGAAAAGGAGGTTTGATCCATTACCTATTATAAATTTTGGCTTCAAATTAAAGAATGTCTTGTAGCCGTGACCAAAGACAAGTCAAATTGAGGCATACATACAAAAACAAGAAAAAAAAAAAAAGTGCATATATAGCCGTCTAAAGCACTGGACTCAGTCATGCAGCTATATGATTGTGGGCATTGATGAACTAAGATTCAAACTCCTCACAATACCTCGAACAAGGTTATTTTTATTACCTATGTTTAGTAAAAAAAAATTCCTCCTAATTACAAATTCTCAATCAGAAAACAACCTCTCGTTTTTCTGTTTCCCACTTCCCAACACCATTTTCAGACTATTCTCGAAATGGCCTTATTCGTTAACTTCAATTATTCATGTTAACATCAATCTCATTACTGAATTAATGCCATTATGTCTTATAGATGATGCATACAAACACTATATATTATTAACTATTTTATAATTTAAGGAGTCACTATTTAAGTAAATCACATCAGGAAAATTCCCCACTATAATTGAGCATTAAGTATTGACTTTTTAAATCAGTGATTTTTATATTTCTATTTTTCCTATGGCATGCTTACTCATTCATTTTACCTGTTCACGGATTTATAAGGCTGAGTATGCATACTATTTTAGTGTTAAATATGACAACAATTCAAATTGGTAATTGGTAATTAAAAATCGACATCACTAAAATTTAATTGGGCCAGACTATATAACTGAGAAAAGGTGGATTACTGGTAAATCCAAACCCTACTAGCAACTAAAGTTGGGTATTTCAGCAGACCGATCACCTAGGAGCAAACAGGGTTACCAAGCGTTTTGGTTTACTTTCCTCCTACCACCATGGATTGGGCATTTATTTGATTAGCAAGGAGTTTTTCTAAGTGATCTCTAAAGTCTAAACTGCTACATTGTTGTAGCAAACTAAAAAAGTCTATGACAAGAACAGAACACCTATTTGCATGTGTCAGAGTAATGGAAGGGCCAAATAGAAGGAACAGAGAAAGAAATCATGCAGGTTAGTGTTTCTAGTTCATGCTAGTGTGCAAATAAGAAATATCCTATTAAAATATTGAAGGTGAGGATATTATTATCACTAAAATGTCCTTGAAGACATGTTCAATTACTAGATTCTTCCAGACCAAGCCATGTCAGAATAGATGTCCTAATCAATGATTTACCTTTCATTCCATGTAAATACAAATGGCAGATTTAATTCATGTTGCGTGCCACATCCAAAAGGTGATAGATGATTCAAATCCAAACTCTCCATGGAATTGCTATAATAGTACTTCAGCAGACTACAAAAAACTACGGGCTATAAGTAGTCTCCCAAGGTTTACTTGAAGGGATCATGGGAACGAGAGGCCTAAAACAAGCAGAAAAACAAAGGAAATAAAGGAAAGAAAAAGAAAAGAGAAATTGAGAAAAAGCCTCCTGTTAAAAATTTTTCAGTAAAAAAGATATAAATCAAAGTACAAGTACATGTATGTACAAAATTGCAAAATATTAATACTTTTTATGTATAAAAACTTATCAGATTTTTTTTCATCAATTAAATTTTAATGGCTATTTCCCCCAATTTTAAGGGAAAAAAGGTATACTAAATGTTAAAAAGGAATTAATTCATTGGTTTGTCTAAGTTGATGCAGGAGGTGTGTTGTTGACTGTTAATTGCGCGTTCCGCGGGGCCACAAAATAGTCCTCCCTTAAAGTTAAAGACTTGACTTGCATCTGGCCCAAAAAACAAAAAAAAAAGAATACCATAAAGTAATAGAATATACTACTTCAATATCTGAATTATTTTTTGAAAGTAAGAACATTCAAAATAATAAATATAAAAACGCATTCGTACATTTGATCAAAATCAAATGTGCAAAAATCTTCTTTTTCTCTGGAGCCCTTTAATTTAGTAATATTATTCCATTTCCATGGCTAATCTGTATATATGAATATTTTTTCAGTTTTAAATATAAGATTTATTTTGTAATGCAAGTTGCGCTATAGAATAGGTTATTATATTAATGACCAGAGAAGTACAACAATAAATTTATGGTTCAAGAAGTTCAGTTATAAATGTTTTAACCCATTTCTCGTTAACAACTTTTGCCAAGATGATATCCATCACTGGTATAATGATGCATGCCTGAGAGATGCTTGATCCTAGCTTTCTAAAGCCATTATATATGTGTCAATTGGAATCTGGCTATAGATTATTTTACTGATATTGGAAGAAGAAAAAGGATGCTAAGCAATTCACTTTTAGGAATCATAATCAGAATCTAGGGGAGAGCTTCCAAGGCCTCAATATATGGGATTTAATAATAGACACATACATTGCTCTAATAAGAGCGGTGGTGGAAATTTTGAAGAGGATGACAGTTAAAGATCATCCAACAAAATTAATACTTGAACTCCAACGTTTATTACTCAAACTTTTGTATTTGTATTTACGAGTCTTCATTTTACAATAATTTTCTTATAAGGTCCTTATTTGTCATTCTTCAAAACTTCTACTTCTCCTCTTGAATGGAAGGTTTAACTGGTTTTGATGGCATTTGCAATGAGTCTAGGTTTCCTCCTAACATTTCAATCACTCTACTCATTGTAGGTCTGTGAGTTGGAAATGTTTGCATCCACCACAAACCCACGACGGTTATTTTTTTTGTCAATATCATTTTTCTAAGTGGTGTTTGCCCCACTTCATCTCAGAACTTTGCCTCGCTCCAATTTATCATAAATAGAGTCAAGAAAATAATTCTCAATTAAGAAATAGGATTCCATAGTCACATCCTTCAACATGCCAACTATGTTTAATAACATCACTCCATAACTATAAACATCATATTTATATGAAACCCCACCTATATTTCTATTCCAAACTTCCAGTGCAAGATATCTAAGAGTCCCTGTAGCTTCTGAAAGCAAAATAATGCTTTTTTTCCTAGGACAAAGTTTATCAAGTCCAAAATCTATTATCTTAGGGCAAAAGCTTTCATCCAAAAAGATATTATGTGGCTTTATGTCAAAATGTAGAATTCGATTATTGCATCCTCTATGCAAAATTCAAGCCCTCGAGCTGTCCCAATTACGCTTTGAAACAAAATTTTCCAAGTCAAGGACAAGTCAGCTTTATTTGCCTTATTCTGAATCAACTTGTCAAGAGATCCATTGCACATGTATTCATATATGAGAGCCTTCTTCTTGCCTTCCAAACAAAATCCAAGAAGGGCAACATCATTAACATGAGAAGTTCTACTGATAGTGGTAACTTAGCTTCATTGGTAAATTCTTTCCTATTTCCTTTGGACGGATTTAAAATCTTTACAGCAACAGGACAGCCATTGAGTAGCTTACCTTTATATACAATACCATAACCATCCTCTCCCAATTTAACTCGAAAAGATTTGGTGATTTCTTGATATCTGCAAATCTATATCTTATGAGAGCCAAAGGTTCTTGGTTTTTAATAAATGCCTCAGTTGTGCTTTACCATGTCAGTAAATTGATTTAATTACATTTGTAATTTAAAAAAGTTTTATTATGCTCATTTAAATTCTTTCTTAGCAAATAGCAGCCACCCTATTCTTTTTTTTTTTTTTAACGTTGGAAATATAAAACATCAAGAACACTAAAATTATGATATAATTAATAAAATTATAATGAATCTTCCCACTTAAGTTGATGATCACATTCGCTTCTATAATACTTCTTCCCATTTAAGATGATGATGCCATAAGCTTCTACACGGCTCCTCTTATAAAAATAGTTGCATCGACCATTCTACTGGCTTAATGAACAATGCCAGCTTATCTGATGGGCTAATTGGCTAATCTGATGATGTCTTGCGTCTCACACGCATGCCCCAAATATTACCTTTTCTATTTCTCATTTTTTCCTTTGCCCGACACTCATTCTTTCTGCAACTCATCTCTCTCTCTCCCTAAATATTTTTTTTTTTAAATGAAATTGATGATAAGGTTCTTGGGGCCTGCTTAATGAGTAATTTTTTAAGGACCACGTGGAGTTTAAGGTAGCTGACGACACTATGCTCGTATGGATTGATCAAGCACAGTCAGTGCAGAAAGTAAGGGTGGTACGTTCATCCAATGTGTTTAACAAATTAAACTGACACGTGTATGGGATTAACATTTAGAGAAGTCTCGCTAGGATGAGATTTAAGTGGTTAAACAAGGACAGGATTTTAGTGGTCAAACAATTTCAGACGCTACTTGTCAATTCTTAAACTAACGTCCATTTTGACTCCTTACACAGCTTGGCCTATCTATTTGTCTAACTTCTATGATGGCAAAGAAGCTGCATAGCTTTGAGAAATTAATGAACAATCAAAATATCCTTTGACAAAAGGATAAGCTCAAGTCATGATTAACTCAGACTTATCAACAAGTCTAAAAATGTAACATGCTAAGAATAGCTCACTGGTCTTAGAGCCCTTGGCTTCATAGCCCTTGCTCCCCCCCCCCCCCCAAAAAAACCAAAAAAGAAACAATTTAGGAACGACATTTGATAACCATAAATACCATACTATGAGACCCCACCCGTACTTTTTCAGCATTTCTGAATCCTAATGTTCCTCCAGCAGCATGTGGGAAGCGCTTTGAAAACCCGAAATCTCTGTTGTGGTAGTACCAGTGGTGGAAGATTCTAGTTCTAATCTTGGAGGGGAAGGCATGACAGGTTTTGGTGGCATTTCCAATGGCTCAAATTTTCTTTCTAACATTTCAATCACCCTACTCATTGTAGGTCTTTGACTTGGAAATATTTGGATGCACCACAAACCCACAATGGTCATTCTCTTTGCAATATCATGTTCCTCCATGTTACTAGCTCCATTACATCCCAAATTGCTGTCTTGCTCAAGTTGAACATAAATATAATCTGGGAAATATTTCTCAGTTGAACAATTGGTTTCAACATTCATGTTCTTTCTCCCTCCAACCATATCTAATAGCATCATCCCATAGCTATAAACATCAGACTTATACGAAACTCCACCTATATTTCTATTCCAAACTTCTGGAGCAAGATATCCTATTGTTCCTCTGGCTTCTGAAATTGAAATGATGCTTTCTTTTTTAGGACAAAGCTTAGCAAGACCAAAATCTGAGATCTTGGGACAAAAATTTTCATCTAAAAGGATGTTATGTGGCTTTATATCAAAATGTAGAATTCGAGTGTTGCATCCTCTATGCAAATACTCAAGTCCTCGAGCTATCCCAATTGCAATTTGGTACAAATTTTCCCAAGTCAGGCATAGACTATTCTTATCTACGTTGTGAATGAACTTGTCAAGAGATCCATTGGACATAAATTCATATATGAGAGCCTTCTGTTTGCCTTCAAAACAAAACCCAAGAAGTGTAACAACATTTACATGGGAAGTCCGACTGCTGCTGGCAACCTCATTGATAAATTCTTCCTTGTTCTCTTTTGATGCCTTCAATAACTTTACAGCAATAGGGTGGCCATTGAGGAGTTTTCCTTTGTATACAGAACCATAACCACCTTGTCCTAATTTATCTCTGAAAGAGTTGGTCATTTTCTTGACATCTGCAAATTTATATCTTGTGAGAGCTAGAGAACCATGATTTCTAATGAAGGCCTCAATATTTTGTTCATCCTGAGATGTCTTGCATAATCCAATTATTTGCCTCCGTGATTTGATCTTACAAGAAAGCAGCAGTCCTATTGCTCCACTAACGACTACAGCAGTAACACCAACTGAAATGCAGAGTGGTAATGGCTTTCAGTTAATGTACTTGTCAAAAGAAACTACTATAAAGTAAGTTAAGAAAAGAACTAAGAGAAGATCTATCACCTATAATGAGTTTATTTCTTAATGCACGTCCTCCTGTTCTGGCTATTATACACAGAGAAAGCAAAGTGGGGTTAGAGACGTATTAGAACCTGTATATGAAGAAAGAACAGAACAAAGGATACGAATATAAAAAGTTATCCGACTTAGCAATGGGAAATTATGAAATGCAGATGATTGGATTAACATTACCACTAACTTTTGAGATGAGTTTTATCCTTACAGAAGCAGCAGAGTTTATATTTATCAAAACCACAGCGTTCGCAGCTTTTAACCCAGTAGTGAAAACCAAGTTCAGGTGCAATCCAATTCAAAGTAGACCCCATCTTTAAAATATCTGTTGTAAGGCTCCATCTGATGTGGTTGTATTTAGATTATACAGAAAAGAAACAGTAAAAGCGTTACGACCATCATCCTCTGTATTGTTTCTTTTGATGGCCCCACTGTACCTTCGAGTTAAGTTGACAAGTTGGCTATACTTGGGACTTGCGAGTCAATGCAACTACTTCGTTGACATCTCTAATCTCCAAAATAACCCTCAAGATTAAGTAGTTTCCAGACCAATATAATTGCCCTCATTCAGTAATCTTGCCTGGAAAAGTCATTTCCTTGTCGTTGCTATTTTTTCCCCAAAAAATTGATTTTTTATTTTAAAATAATTAATTAAAAATTTTAAATTTAAACCATCCAAGTTAAGTTTGGGTGCTCATTACTTGAGCGGTACTGCAAACACAAAGCCTTTTCATATTAAAACTCAGCTTCGCAATGCAAATCAATATGTGGCATCAGATATTTGTCAGTGGAAATGCAAAATAACACTCTTTATGGAATAAACTTTCGAGAATAATGAGTTTTAGGATTGCTATGGAAATATAATTATTTTAAAATTATAATTTTTTATTAAAAAATAAAATTATTATTGACAAATTATAAAATTTTAATGAACACCTTTAGAAATTATTATTCATTTTTTTAAAATGAAAAGTCTTCAGTACTTTTATTATATCTAAAAAATTATTAATTTTCACATCTTCCAAAAAGTTATATTTTTTTGAAAATTTTAAATGCTTCTTCTTTTTTTAATGGGAAAGAATTATTTTAAAAGTACGGCCATGCTCCGGAGGAAAGATAAGGTGACATGGAGGATTACCGGAAGGCCTCAACGAGAACAAAGGAGGCTGTAAATATCAAACTTCATGGTGCCAAGGAAAGTAAAAGCGCCAATCAGTAATGGCGGCATCACAATGACACTCCTGCGGGGCAACACCTAAATGGCCCCACTCTACCTCCCACTTGAGTTAAATATCTGGCTATGAGGTGCAAGATAAGGAAGACGTGCCAGACTGGAAATATGGAATTCCATGACTTGCAAGTCAAGGCCACTGCTTCGTTGACATCTAAAATCTCCAAAATACCCTCAAGATTAAGTATTTTCCGGACTAATAATTGCCCTCGTTCAGTAATCTTGCCTGGGAAGTCATTTTCTTTACTTTTAATTGAGTTTCACTGGAAGTGGAAACAAGCCGTTGGGGCGTTTATCGCCTTTATCTTACTGAAGGCAGTCAAATTGAACAAAGGCGTCTCTAAAGTCTAAACTAATAAAATGCAATAATCGCAGCGCAAGCGCAGCATATAGCTAAGCATAAATTTGGCGTGGCAAGTAATGAGCGAAAACTCTGAGAGGATAAAAAAGGGGAGAAGTGGAGAGGCGCTTACCGGAAGAACGGGAACGATCGGAAAGACCGGAAGAAACAGAACAGTCAAGAGGATGATGCCCATCGAGGCAATAGCAGATAAACGGAGACGTATGATTCGACCCACATCTTCCATAAGACTCCCGGCATTTTCCACAAGACCCATCGACATCATACTGCACACGAAACCCTTCACCCAAAGCTTCTTGAAGGGCTTGGATTTTATCTCGAGTGTACCCATGAGATTCTATTGAAAGCGGCACCTGAACACGATGCTTACATTTGTTCAGACCGGATAGCATGTCAATATCTACATCTTCCGAATAGAAAGCATAGTTGCGAGAATTAGAATTAGAGGTTGTTCGAGGGCGGCATGGAAATGGGATTCCCCCAGTCAAGTCGCCTGAGCAGTTGTAGAATAGGGTCACGTTCTTCACAGATGGCTCATCATAATGGAAGAGATTGAAACGGGTTCTCACAGAAGTGTTCGTCGGAAAAGAAGAACAATCATCATAGACAAAGTCTGTTCGCACCAGTTTCATCGTGGATGGCTCAATCTCTGTGACATTGAAAGTCTGTGAACCGATGTCAATTGAAGGGAAGTCATGTTCATCTTGGGGACAATCTAGCTGGAACTCAGTTCTGCCACAGTAATTTTTGTCTGACCAGAAGGGGTAATCGATATTTCCAAGTTTTCCACAAGGGGATGGTCCGCACCCCCAGTATTCCTTGTCCGGTTGAGAAAGGGAAAGTGGGAAGGATGAAAGGAAGAAGGAGAAGGCGAGGAACTGCACATAGGCCTCCATTGTTAACTCCCTGGTTGATTTATGACAGCATGCAGGCTGGGCTAGCTCAGCATTTATCAGTCACAGCTTTTGGGTCAAGGCAGACTTTGACTTCACAACAGGAGGCTGCGATCCTCTGTCATCATTCGTTTTCCTGATTTTTCAGGAACAAAACGCCTCAACCCTAAAAATCCTATCTTCCTTCACATTGCCCCCGGGGGGACAAGTCCTTCCCGTCGTTTCATATTATTATTTACTTACATTTTTTTAATACAAAAATTAGTTAACTAATTTAAATAAATTAAAAAATTAATTAAAATAGTTATTTGTAATGATTAAGTATTATTATTCTTAAAATATTTTTACTAATCAAATGTATTGAGTAGAACTATTATTATTATATAAATTATCTTAAAAAAATAAATAAATGCAAAATATACAATTAACTGAGATCTTATATTTAAAATTAAAATCAAACCTATCCAAGCTTTTATATTGAGCACGGAAAATAATATATAAAAAGTAGATGTTGACTATTCAATGCGTATTCCAGACGGCCACAGGTGAAAATGTCTTGCACATATTCGTTAGGAAGCAGCCACTCACTTTCCCCTCTCCTTTTTCAGACTATTTTCAAATTGGGCCCCTTGTTAACTTTCATTACTCATTCTAACAACAATTTTTTTTTTCAGGTATAATTCAAAATATATCCAAATCATTTTTAACTTGAAACTACTTTTTTTTTTTTTTACCAGCAAACTACTTATTCATTAAAAAAAATCTTAATACTGAAATGATACCATTAAAGTCTTATAAATTATGTATACCAAATTACCAACACTATTAATATTATTTCTATACCGATAGAATTGAAATATTTTATAATTTAATAAGAAGTCACTATTTAAGTATAATCACATTAGGGAAATTTTCAGTTGTAAATGAAGATTAAGCATTGTTTTCCTAAACGTGTGATTTTATATTTCTATTTTACCTATTACAAACTTACTCCTTTTCCCTGTTCAAAGGTTTTAAGGTTGGTTGTAGATACTGTTTTGATATAAAATATGATATCTATTCAAATTGATAATTAAATCTACCTCATTAAATTTATTTTGAACGGACAACGACCAAGAAAAGTTGGATTACTGGTAAATCAAAACCCAGCTACCAATTGAGCTGGGTACTATAGAAGACCAATCATATAGGAGCGAACAGGGCAACCAAGCCCTTGGTTTGTTTCATCATGGATGGGGTATTTATTGGACTAATAGCTTTTAATTATGTTAAGACTTTTCAACTATCAAATGTTCCCAGCGAACAAGCTAAAACCTTAATCAACAAGGTGAAAGTGAATGAACTGAAATAACATAAAGAAAAATCTAACTTCCTAAGAATGAATCATGAGTGCCTCAGAGTCTCCTTAGTGACATCGTCAGCTCTTGTTCATGGAGGGTAGTGAGTTTTTCTAAAGATGTAACAAACCAAAAAATTCTATGACAAGAATAGAACACTGATTTGCATGTCGCAGAGCAACTACAGGACCTAATAGAAGGAACAGAGAAAGAAGCCATAAGAATGAAACACATGAAGGTGAACCTCACAGTGTAGAACTAGTACACTGGGAATCGATGCAACAGAAATTGATCCAAAAAGAAATCTTGCTTTTCTCCATCATCTCTGCACGAGGTGTTGTTCCGGCCGATGGAACACCGAGGGGCACAGTCATAGAATATGGTCATGGTCACAACGGCTGTGTCGAAAGGAAACAGAGCTGGGTCAAAAGAACTGTTGGTGAAACTGAAAGAACAGTTGTCGTAGTTTGGGGTGTCCCTTCACACCATTTGACGATATAACGAGAGGGATCGAAACTATATAGTGGATTCCTCACGTTAGAGAATGAGTGTCTAGTGGTGTTTTTGATAACCACTTATCGTAACAGTTAAAAGGAAACAGAGGATGAGGAGAAGAGACAGAACCTAATGGAATTAAAATAATTATGTAAAAAAAAATTAAATCTAAACTATATAAATCTCATCTGGACAATCCAGTTAGGATGAGCTCTGAATACTTATCTTTAAAATGAGCACCTAAACTTGTTCTAAATGTAATGGAATTTCTTACCCTTTTTTCTTTTTTAAATTTTCAATGCCATGTAACTTGGTTGTTTAGTTCAGCTCTCTTTTGGTACGTCCTACTCTGCATAATACATTATGTAAAACCTATATCAAACTATTAAACCATACTGAATCTCATCTCTTTCATCATTTTCATCATAACACGGACACACTACTCTTCCTATAATATAAAATTAGCTCCATTAGATTAAAATCTTTATTTATTCGATCTTATTCGTAAAATTTAGCGAGCTTAAATGAGTTAGACCATAAGATCAAATTTGAATTAACAACTCTACTAATAAAAACACAGCAACAACAACATCGTCAAGATATAAAGTTCATATTTTGGTGATTCCTAAAACGTGGTGCCCAATGATTATTTAACACATAGCTGCCTCTTCTTTTTTAATTTATTTTTCCTAAATGTCCTATTCTGCATATTATAA